GTAACCCATCATTCAGCAGTGCTTGACTGTAGTTCAGATGACTGGATTGAGTTTAGTCAAAGGACTGCACAAATCTTATATAAATGGAGTTTTTTTTTTTTTTTTTGGTGCAGAACTGGGGATTGAACTCAGGACCTTGCGCTTGCCAGGTAGGCGCTGGCATCATTAAGCTAAACCTCTGGCCCTAAATGGAGTCTTAATATAGATAGCGCAACTAGGGGCTACAGGACCACTTCCCTCCACTCACCTGAATCCTGAGGGCCAAACCACACCCCTCATACTCTTGCTTCAGGGCTTACTCTATTGTGGCTGAGATAAGGGAAAGAAAGCCCTCCAAGTCTGCCCTAGAAAACTCCAAAATTCCAAAACAGGGTTCATGCACACCAGACCTCCCTGCCTGACCTGGAGCTCATTCATAGCTCATGCATATGGACTGCATCTCATACATCCCATTATAACAGTGAATTATGGGAAAGGACATGTGCAATAGACACGGCTGACATAGCTCAGCATCCTTGCAGTCATGCTATCAACCATGTTCTGGAAGACCCCAGTGAGAAGTGCCCTAAAGTTGGTACAACATTTAAACTCCTACAGCCTATGTCCTTAGCACTCATGCCACTTTGTTTTGGGTTCTTGCTTCTCTGTTCACACTCTTTCATACTTGAGGCCTGCCTGTCTATTGGCTCCCGGAAACTTCATCCCTGGACCTGGGAGCCAATTATTCCCTTCCCTGCCCAGACATGGTCTCGCTATCAGTGAGAGCCTGCACCCTCTCATCAGTCAGGAAGGCTCTGGTGCTCTTTCTAGATATGGATTATCTGCTAAATTGAACTATATGATGTTACCTTTTCTTTTGGTCATTTTTGTGCAGCAAAAATGCCAATTTCATATCCTTCAACTTAAAGCCTCTGGAGCAGAAATGACATATTCTGTTTTCCAATAGGAGAAACAAATACTTCCTCCCTCAAACCATTTTTCTGAGTATATTAGTCACTTTCCTGTTGCTGAGAGAAAATTCTGACACCTGTACAGGAAAGGCTAAGAAGTTATTTTAGCTTACAATTTCAAAGGGTTCAGTCCATGGTTGGCTGTCTCCAAGGCAGAAATGGCATGGAGAAAAGGGCATGGTGCACAAAAGATGCTTAACCCATGGCAGCCAAGAAGAATAGAGTGAAGGGAGAAGCAGGGACAAGAATGCTCCTTTCCAAGTCATATCCCCAGTGACCCACCTCTTTCTAGCAGGATTTACCTCCTAACAGTACAATCAACCATGAGATCATGAGTGGAAAAAACCTGATAAGTATAGCACTCCTACGGTCCGATCACTCTCCAAAATCCCCACCTCTGAACATGTGAGACTTTCAGGGGACATTGTTAGATCTGAACCATAACATTGAGCAAAATAGTATTTGTTTTATCCCTATTTCCTCTTTATTCACATGTATCATTCCATGGCACATATAGCTCAGTGACAAACATGGCACAGTCACATGTATAGCTCCAATCCCATCTGCTCAGCATGGAAGACTAATCTCTCTCCCACCCATCCATGAAGAGCCTCTTGTCTACTTTACCATTCATTCTCTTGCTCTGACTCTCGCTACCTCAATTATATCTCTCTTTGGGTGCAATGACAAGAATAACATGAAATATTGTCCTTGTTCAGTTACGTAATAAATTACAATTTCTTCCATTTTCATTTCACTGAAAATTGTATTACCTTTACAGAAACCCAGAATTTCTTCTCAACTATGTAAAATCTCATAGTGCAATCTCCCCTCTAAGTTAGCTTGCTTAGAACTGGAAAGCTTGCTGAGTCCTTTGTTTACTGTCTTAGAAGTCTCTTAGATTTATGTTGGTAAATCCATTTCTTCTTTATAAAGAACCTGAATGCATCGTTTGTCACAAAAGTCCCTGACTGTGTTTGTTATATGACAGCGTGGAGCTTTCCTTTCAGCCAGTGCTGGCCTGACTTGTAGAAGTTCAAAGAGCCTGTGAAGCCAACCTGTTAGAACAGCCAGTCAGTGGGTGGAGCTTGCCATGCATTTGTGTTCCATCTCACTGCCAGAGAGGAATTTGGGGTAGGGTAGTGCTTCATTTTAGGTATCAACTTGACCGAATTGCAGAATATCTGTATGGCTGGTAAAGTATTGTTTCTTGGTATGTCTGTGAAGTGGTGTCCAGAGGAGATGGGCATATGAGTCTGAGCAGAGCAATAAGGAAAGTGAACTATCAGCGTGGGTGCCATCCAGTTGGCTACAGGCTGGGATAGAGCAAACACAGAAGAAAGAAATGTGTCTGTCTGTCTCCTGATGCCCAGATATATTCTTCTCCTCCTCATCATCAACACTGGACTCCAGGTCCTCTGGGTTTTGGACTCCAGGACTTATGCCAGCAGCCCTGTGGATTTTCAAGACTTTGGCCTCAGACTGAGAGTTACTCCATCAGCTTCCCTGCTCCTGAGGCTTTTGGAGTTGGGCTGAGCCAAATTAGCAGCATCCCCGGGACTCTGGTTTGCAGACGGCCTGCAAGGGACTTCTCCCCTCCATAATCCTGGGAGCCAATTCTGTAATAACTCTCTTCTCATATATCCTATTGATTCTCTCTGTCAGGAGAACAAACACATGTGGATTACAGAAACACATACATACAACAAAGATAAGAAAAACATTGACATAGAAGAGGAGAATTAAGGCAAGAAATGTAGATGAAGTCATTTTTTTCTTTTTCTCTGCTCATATTTTGAATTTCTTTTATCTTTGCTTACAGAGTTTTAGGAGTTCTTGTATTCTAGATCTGTACCCTTCAATATGTTAGCCACTAGTCCTATCTGCCTATTAAGTTAAAAACCTGAGGATCTACTTCTGAGTGTTACTGGTGATTTAAATGCCATTCCTTGGAGTTTCGGTTAGTCTGGGTAATGCTTAGTAAATGCTCATTTCCAAAGTGCTGTGCCTTTGGAGGCTACTAATACATGAAGTATGTTGCCATGGTAACAGTTACTGTTAGTACTTTTTATAGATTAAAGTGTTACACCCTGGAGTCTATTCATATAAATGCATAAATCTGAAGTACAGTATGGTACTTCATTTAATGCAAATATTTAATGGAAAAAGAGACAGACTTAACTGACCAGAAATAGAAAAATTCCAATACTTATATCCAATATGGACATGCATTCTTACCTATGATATGGTAATGTAGTATTTTCATTAAAATTCATTTATAAAATATAAGTTAACCCTTTATCCATTTGAATTTATCAAAATTTACATAAATTATGAAAGAAAGGTATATGTCTGTCAAAAGTTCACACACATCATTTTGGTTTGTATCCTTGTGCCAAACTCCTAGAGCTTATGGGGTTTCAACAAATTTGGAAAACATGGTGCCTCCTCATTTAAGGAAGGAGATGTCAAGGAATCCCTGGGAGCTCTTCGGTCTGGGTTTGGATATTTGCTCTGATATTTACTGTGCAATCTTGAACTTAAGGTTTCTCAACTGTAAACTGGGGCTCATACTCAACTGTAAGTTGTAATCTTTGCACTTACAAAGATTATATGCATCTTCAATAAGTAGCGTCTGTGGCATAAAGTGACTAGTTAATGGTTTCGAGTCAATACTTAGGACAGAAAGAGGGGTTGGAGTATTCCAAGCACATATGTGCAGAAGAAAATCAACCATAAATTATCCTGCTGGATGGGAGGCCTCAGAGATAGGGAAGCTGGGTACAGCTCCATTCACAGAGGAGAGGACACAAGCGAAGCTCAGCAGGACAGTGGGCCTGGGCAGTTCCTCGAGAGATGGGCACAAGCCATGAGGTTGCCAGGGTGTGCTCTGTTAGGGAGGGACAATGGAGTAGCATGAGGAAACCCTGAGGGTAGGCTGAAGACTCTAAGCCTTTTACACAGAGACAAGACCAGAAGTTTTTCAGAAGGAAGATCTGGCAACCTAAAAGGTAAACGGAGACAAGGACAGCCTGTGACCCTGGTGTGAGGAAAGCAGAGTGTTAACCTAGGCAGGAAGATGAACGTGTGATGTCCAAAGTTGCAAACAGGAAGCCTCCTTGTGAGTTGTAGGTATTATCTAAGCTGGGAACAGAGGAGTGGAAGAATCCCAAACTACCTCAAAATCTTTGATCTCTTCTGATAAACAGCCGTTCAAAGCAACAACAATGATAATAACGCAATGTGATTTGGATATGTGACATCTGTCTTCTTTTAAGCAAAATTTTGAAATGCATTTATGAATAGTATGTCATTTGACTCCCACAAGAGCTTTGTGAAAGAGAACAGGTGGATGTTACATCCTTGTTTAAAATAGAAAGATCACTTCTGGGAAAATGACAACTGTAATAAAAGTAAATTAATTTTTAGGCCTTATTCTATCTCAAAAAATGTTTAAGTGATTCTTGTCACATATGTTGTTCAATACACAGTCAAGGTCATTTTCATCAGTCAGTTTTCTCGGAATTTGGAGGAATTAGTTGGAAAATGGACAACACCTAGTGGGATCCATTAGATTCTCAAGGACAGACCTGATACTCATTTAGGGTTCAGGTGTCTGCAATAAAATTAAGACTACATCTCCTGCACATGGTCAAATGAGGATGCTTCCTAATTCATGTCCCAGCTTGCCCTCTTTCTTGACTTTCTCCTATGGCTCAAATAATTGGGTTCTGGATGCTACACCCTTACCTCATGTTCACCATGCTTGCAACTGAGTGCATCATCTGGGTTCTAGATGGTTCCATCTGCTGTCTTATTTTTGTCCGTGATATTTCTACTTTTCCAGTCCCCTATTGTGACAGGTGACTACTAACATGGTTCACAATGATCCCCACCCCATAGTATTCATGCCCTTAGATATTTCCCTCTCCTATGTGTATGGGTTGGACTCAATGACTTGATTTCAGTGAAAAAATACAGCAATGGTGATGGGATATCACTTTTGAATTAGGCTGTAAAAGACTATAACTTCCATATTTTTTCATACAGCTTCTTCCTGACTCTTTTGATGTGCTTGTCTGATAATGCAAGCTAGATTTACATGTCAAGAACATGACGGTGACTTCAGCCAATTGCCGTGAAGAATCAAGACCCCCACCTCAACATCTTTCAAGGAATGGAATCTTGCCAACAAGCATGAGATCGAGCTTAAAAGTGGATCCTTCTCCTACTGAACCTTCAGACGTGACCACAGCATTGTGTGACACCTTGATTGTGTTCCTGTAAGAAATCCTGAGCTGGACAGCCCAGCTAAGCTGTATCCTGATGTCTCACCCACAGAAGCTGAGGTAATACATTCCCTAAACCACTGAGTTTGGGTGCAATTGGTTATGCACCAATAGATAATGAATGTTTCAACACATTGATCCTAGTCAGTTACTATAAGGCTCCTAGAAATTCTCCCATCCTTTCCAAAGCTCTTAAATTTATGCTTTTCTACAATTTGCGGGAAAGTAATGGGCTGCTTCAGGATGAAGAAATTACTCAGTGTGTGCCTCCAGGCATCCTTCCCATGATGCTTCTCTACTATAATCCTGCTCCAGATTTCTGCTGGAAGAGAGCACGTCCCTCACTCTTCTGCCTTAGACTTTCTGTGCTTCCAAGATTGGCTGGGGTCCAGACTGCATTCTTCTGTGTCCCTGACCTGGATTCCCATTCCAGAGCCTGATTGGTGCATTTCTTAGCTGATCTCATCAGCAAATTCTTTTATTGCAGCTGCATTCGATGGTTGGTTTGCAATGTTCTTGACATCCATTGCACCCATCCAAATCAAAACACTCTTGTTAGCCCTGCAGAATGGTCTGATTTGATCCCCCAGAAAGAGGAGACCAGGTCCTGACTTATCCAAGCAGGACCCTGACTGGCTCCTGGTGCTTAGCCCTCGTTCATGGCTCCCTAACTGCCCTTCCTGACTTTTACATTTCCAGCTCCACCACCTCAAGTGGGCGTGAACAATCCTTCAAAGGCCTGTGCCAAGTTATGAGCTCCTCTTCCTGCCTTTCCAGGGGGTGTGGGACAGGACTTGCAGATGTGCCAGGTCTTTAAGGGAAGATGCAAATGAGCTAGCTCCAAGTAGATTTGGCAACAGGCACCACCACTCAATGGCACAGCGGTGACTCATGAAAGCAGAGGGGAGTGGATGTGGCGGCTGGAAATCACTTCCCAGATCATCCTCGGCAATTATGAAGCAGGCTTTTGACCGTAGTGCCAGCAAAATAGAGTAAAAGTCCCTTTTCCTGGATTCCGAGGGCTCCCACCAGCCCATGCTAACCTGCTTGCTCAGTCTGTTCCTCAACATGAGCCCTCTGCTTCCACTGCTGTTTTCTAGTACAGAATTCTCTACTTTAAAAAATATTTGTTAGGTATGTGAACCTCACAGACGTTATATGAAGCAAAAGAATATGGATGCAAAAAATAAACACTAGCTGGGTGTAATGATGCACAATCCCAGCCCTCTGGAAGGCTGAGGTACTGGGGTCACAAGTTTGAGCCCAGCCTGGGCAACTTAGCAAGACTGTCTCAAAATAAAGTTTTTCTTTGGTGCTGGGGATCAAACTCTGGACCTTGCACTTGCAAGGCAGGTGACCACACCACTGAGCTAAATCCCTGGCCCTCTCAAAATAAAACATTTTGAAAGGGTTACGAGATAGCTCAATGGGAGGATTGTTGAGTTCATTCACCACACACACACATGCACAGTAAATACTGTGTGCTTCGTTTAGATGACATTTTAGAATAGGCAAAACTCACCTAAGGTGAAAACAGTCCTAATAGTTGGTTGTGATGGATGAGGGATTACCTCAAATGAGATATGAAAGAACTTTGTGGAATTCTGGAAATGCTCTATATCCTGAAAGGGGTGTGGGTTACAGCTAAGTTTTTTTACCCTGTCATTATAGTTTCGTTTGTTTGTTTGTTTGTTTTGATACTGGGGATTGAACTTGGGACCTCGTGCTTGCAAGGCAGGCAGTGGCACCACTGAGCTAAATCCCTGGCCCTATAGTTTGGTTTTTTTTGGTACCTGGGATGGAACTCCGGTTGTTGCGCTTGCGCAGCAGGCGGCAAAACCACTGAGCTAAATCCCTGGCCCTTCCTATAGTATTTTGATAAATGTAAATTTTTTTTTGGTACGGGAAATCAAACTCAGGACCTTGAACTTGCAAGGCAGGCAAAGGCACCACTGAGGTAAATCCCCGGCCCCTGATAAATGTAAATTTTATCTCCATTAAAACTGCAAAAAACATTTAATGATTGGATGGAGATCGAGGAGAGGTTGGAATGACAGAAAAAGCAGGAATGGTAGAGTAGCAGTCATTGTTGGAACTGAGAAGTACTACCTAGAGGCTGTTTAGACTATTCTGTTTACTTTGTATATGTTTGAAACTTTCCAAAATAAAAAAAATGTATTGAATACATTACACACTAGACCTTATGCTAATGATACAGCACAGGAAGGCAAGGCTGCAGAATATAGAGAGAAGTAAATTTAAAATGGAATTTTTACTTACAAACAGTAAGTGCATTGAAGAGTGGAAAATGTGGAATTAGTGGAAAGGACTGGGCATTTTTAATATCTTAGATTTTCAATGACTATGCAGTGTCAGCTCAGAGTTTACTATGTATACATGCATGCTGACATTGGTAAGGACTCTTCAGCATCTGCTTGTGGTGGTGATATCCATGTTAAATGGAGTACCAGTGGTGCTGTGATTAAATGCAGAGACAAAGGTTGCTCTGATATGTCTTGTTTCTTCCCATTTCTGTACTTTCATTTAGTCTGTTTCCATGAGTGCTCATTTCTGTCCATTCCTCAAATCGTATGCAAAGTCTACTTATGCTTTAACAGCTCTATTCAAAGTGTGGACCCAAGAAGATGAAGACCTTGTACCACGAGGTAAATCAACCTACTGCTTCTGTCACTGAGAATGTCAGGTCAAGAGAAGAATGTCAGAACATATTTTGCTAGGTGATGTGGTTGATGCATGCTCTCGTTCAAGATTGATTTTCAGATCAGCAGCCAGATTTGTGACCAACATTAAGCAATGGTTTATGAGATTGACCCGGGAGCACTGAGGTCAATGAAACCAGAATCACTGGGGTGGGGGCCAGGCATCAGTGCAATATGAGGTTTCCAACATCATTCCAGCATATAGCCAGGGCAAGAACCAGTGATTTCTGATCTTCTTAATCATTTCCCTTCAGAGAAGTTTTCTCTTCTTGTACTAGCTTGACAAGGGCTTTCTCTGTCCAATCCCTTCAACATTGCTGATGGCCAGTCTGGTATATAAGTATGTAGGGCCTTGTACTCGTGTGTGTGTGTGTGTGTGTGTGTGTGTGTGTGTGTGTGTACTGAGATTAAACCCACAGCTTTTGCACTGAGGTCCATCTCCAGCACTTTAAAAAGATGTTTGTTTTGAGTCAGGGTCTCATTAAGCCCCTATATTGCCTGGATCATCCTCACACCTACAGTGTTCCTGCCTCAGCTTCTCAGAGTGCTTGGCCTTGTACTCTTTTTAACAATTCATAATTGGTTTCTTTATCTTGGATGTATGGATAGATGTTCTTGACCTCGTAACCCTTTAGGGACCATTTACTTCTTTGCATTCCCCACAACTTGATACTGGTGCTCAAGAAACACGTGCTAGAGCCTGCTGCAGACAGGCAGGTCTACGCACGCCCTACCGAGGTCGCCAGTTGCGCGGAACACCCCACCCCCAACACATGCCCCTCTGTACAGCCACCTGGCTCCACACTACAAAGACACAGAGGACACCGGACCACCAGACCACGGTACTGAGTCCCAATGCTCCCAGCCCAGAGGTAGAGGCTTCTGAGCCGCTGTCCCACTGCTCCTGGCCCCGAGGTAGGGGCTTCTGAGCCACCGTCCCACTGCTCCTGGACCAGAGGAAGGGGCTTCCCGGCCACCATCCCTACCACTGCTCCCAGCCCGCAGGAAAGGGGTTTTGGGTCACCATCCCTACTGCTGCTCCCAGCCCCTGTCCCACCTCTCCCAGCTCAGAGGAGGTAATCTGTGCAGGCGCTAACAGCCGCCACCCCCCACCCCCCTAGTCGAAATGAGAAAACACGTAAATAAGTCTCAAAAACAGACTTCCAGATCACCTACCGCAACCCTAAAGGGAAATGAGATGGAACACTCTGATACTCAACCACCTGGACCCACTGAACTGGCAACAAAAGAGGACCTGGGAAAAATGAAATCAGAAATAATTTCTCAGATAACAGGAGAGATTGTGCTCCTAGTGCAAGACATGATTAATAAATCTAGAGAGGAGCTCAGGAACATGATGGGATCCCAACAT